TATTTGACACTAGAACCTGTGACTAAGTCTTCTTTAGATGCAAGAAAGATCTCCACGAAAAAAAGATGTTCTTATCTTTGAGTGCTACAGTGTTTTTCTTGTAGAATCTGCCCACTTTTCTCGAAGATATCAGATTGTCTCGACACACTTAAGCTGGAAAAACAGAGTGCGCGCATACGCTGTGCGAAAAAATCCCCCTGAAAACACTGAGAGAAGGTAGATAAATAACTAGAGCTATTTCGCGCTAAATTCACGTTTTTTATTTGCGCTCAAGTTCATTTCTATCATAACTGGTGCGAAAACTGTAGCTTGGGCTTTTTTCAATAAAAGACGATTCACAAGCCCACTCAGTAGGTTTTTGGAAAACCTGTTCGCCCGCTGCTGAGCTTAGTTTATAGCCCCAGAAAAATGTATCCTAAATTGAGTAGTTTTAAGGATTCAAATCCAAAGCGTTTGGCGGCTAAACTTCTTTGCCGATAAAGGTAAGAAATTGTCCTCGTAACGTTGCTCTTTAGCATCCACACTGTGAGGCTTCGCTTCGTTGTGCTGAAATATCCAATCTTCTCCAAACATTTTCTCCAAGCAAAGCCACAGTAAGCACTTTTCCGATATATTTGGCTTGATCAATCGCTCGCTTCTCGATAATCAATTCTTTTGAGCAAACGGATCATTACTTTTTGCGGAAATACTTTATTTTAAACTTGTAATCAGCTCCGAAACGATTTAACTTCCATATCCGGTCATTTTGAGAATTTAAACCTACCATTGCTTTGTTTGTGACTGGACACACTGTTACAGACAAGGCACAAGTAACTTAGGTGCAACCAGTTTTATGCTGTGGCTGCCTTTTTACTATTCGGAAGGAGCAGAAGTGCGTCATTTGGGATATTCAGCCCATGAATCCATCATATATTGGCATCCAAAATTTTTTTACTATCCAAATTTCTGGCATACCTTTTTATTATCGCAAACAGAGCCCATAAGTGAGAACTCTCACCCAAACTTAACCTCATATCCTGTAATCTGCAGAAGTTATCGTACTGATATTGTTCAGGTGCTATTCGATGCTCTAAAAATGACAATTTAACCCTATCCGGCTACTATTTTGACATTTTCTTTAGAGCTGTTCCTCCATTAAAGTCGTAAAAGTAAAGTTTGCCCTACGAACTGTATATTCAATCGACCATAAATTTAGAGTCTTTATTATTATAAGAGTCAAAAAACAGAAAAGCATTTGGAGAAAGTTTACCAAACCAATGATCTGATAGGAAAAAATCAATCTCTATTTTTTCTGAATGACATTCAGTGTCCGTATGCCATTTGTAATCGGCGGTCTAGTTTTATCTTGTATGTTTCTTGATATATCGAAGGACATTTCAGCTGTTTTCTGTATCAAAGCTTTTCCATTTGAAATATTTTGAATTTTGGACAGATATCGATGTAGAATAAAAATTTCGGCTCGACAATCGTAGCAGTGATCTAGTCCTTCGGCTTCCGAATCGTTTAAATCATGCTCATAAAACATCGTTCTCGTCGTATCATGAAAATAAGCCAAGGCTGCTTCAATAGCCCTATTATTATAATCAGTCTTAGGTGCATCTTTGACAACGACCAAGCGGCATTCGGTGTTTCGTCTCGATGCCCACGGTTCTAATATAAGATCACCTTTTAAGTATTCGTATGTCTCTGCACGCAAAATACGAAATCTCAATAGAGAAGCTTGGGGCTTCAGTGTTGAATACCACACCATTTGATCGTACATATCTTGTACCATGTAATCGTCTAAGTCGTGGTGCGGGCCAAATGTATGTATATCACAAATGAACAGTAAATCGCGTCCATTTCTGGAATATTTTTTTGCCAGCTCATTCGTAAAATTTTCTGAACAAATATGAATTTTTTCCGTTTCTTTTGCAACAAACTCTTTTGTATCAATGAGAATGAAGTCAAGCTGCGGAAACAATGTACTCAGAAAATTTATATGTGAACCAGGCGCAGCACCAACATAGATCACCGAAAAGGTCCCCTGCTTAGCATAATTCGTCAAAAACTCAATTTCTGTTAACATTGCTTTCCTTTCTCCCCAGTGCTCAGTCGTGACATTTCGTGATGGTGATATACGGAGATCTGTTCCACGGGGGAACAGTTTAAGAAAACGCTGTTCTTTCACGAAATCCTTGGTGTAAACGAGAAACCGTTTGCGATTGATGAAAATTTCTCGTAAATGTGGGTTGCGATTGTACACATCTTGCTGCTTCCTGTCTAACGCCAGTGTGTTGACACTGAACTCCTTGTCGAGCTTCATCCGCGCCAGAAGTGTTTTTTCATCAGAATACAACTGCGGTCGATTCGTGTCAGAAATGACGATTGAATAATCGCCCTTTGGTAAGACAGACGCGTAAGCAGTGTCGCGTCTCTGATCTTCTACTATTCGCCCATTTGGTCTCTTGTTTCGAACTCTAAAAAAGACAGATCGGTTTGTTTATAACTGTCCGTCGAAGACAGTCCTATTTTTTCGTTTATTGAATACTATTGTGTTACTTTTGCCCAGGTTCCAACGGAAAATACCGTAGATCTGGTTACCATTATGAAATATGTTGAGCTATATTTTCTTTCTTTTCAGAAGATGGTTTCCACAAATTGCGCACAAGTTGCTTTGACGAACAAGGTTTGCACAAAGTATAGATACCAAGTATAGATACCATAAAACGCTATTCAATATTACCGCTATTCAGAATCCACTAACTCCTACAATTCTTAAAAGAGTCTCGAAGCTAACTATCTAACTACTTAGGATAATTGTTTTGAAACGACGTCAATGATGACCTATATATTGGTGAAATTAGACTCAGATCGCAACAAAATGAGAATCTGACATAAGATTCCTGTTTAGCCCTTTACACCCCCTTGGTCACTGGAGTGACCATTTGTAGATCGATGGTAAAAAATTAAGAAAGGATGGAATTTAAAAACTTTGGGGAGATGTCTTGTAGTGAACTCCATAAGCTATCGATTGGTAAAAAAAATATTTTGTTTCGTTGGTTTGTCTCCGAAAAAGATGAATTACAAAATCGATGACTTTTGAAAAATCACAAAAATTGGATTTTTTCGAAAAATATTTTTCCAGCAACAGGCAAGATACATC